TAACTAAGTCACGAGAGTATAAAACAAAAAATATTTAAAGCAATTATTAAATAGTTTGAGTGCCGACTTTTTCCACAAATTTGAATAACTGTTAAAGTTTTACATTAACTTTTAAACTAAATAAAATCAATTATTTTTTGAGATCTATTTTTAATTATTTAAGAATTTTTGATAAATTGTATGCTTTTAATCAAACTCCTAAAACAAACATTTCTAAAGTAAATTCATTAACAAAACTTTTTGTTGTTTTTGAGTATCTTTATCTAAATTACACGTAAAAATGCATGAATCGTATCAAAAAGTACATAAGTTTTTTGGTATTATTAATGAATCAATTATACGGTTCATAGAAATAGATACCAAAATCGCTATTAATTAATGGAGTGAATCATTACTTTTCATTAAAATTAACATCATATTGAAGTGAATGGTTAGCCAAACAACAAGAAAACGATTGAAATCTTATCACTGTTTTGAGAGACCAATGTTAACCCAAATTACAATGTATTAGAAATTATGATTTCTATTAATTCATTAATCAATAGTATTCTTCACGAAAAGGCATAAGAAAAATGTATACATTTAATAAGTAGTGAAAGAAAGAAATCTTATTAACAAATATAATCGTGACTTAAGTGGTGTTTATAATTCAGAATAATCTTTATTTATATAAAATTGCATTTTTTCTCTAAATAAAAAAAGTTGGGCTCAAACTATAAAGGTATTAAAAGGTATATAATTTATAGTTTATTATCTGTTGTATATATTTGTTGAGTGAAGTTATAGTAACTTATATTATATCTGAGCCAAAGATAGGTCAACACAACTGTTAATAAACATATAACTAATAATCATATGCTATAATAAACAGTAGTTTTTTAAAAGCAATTTTCAATGGCAATAATCGTGGAGAACTGCAAACATATTATATAAGTTTTATAACATTATATATCCAATACTATAATTATATATAGACTTAATGTCTTGGACTCGAATTTCGCTCAAATTAGATAATGTTATGAGATATACATTATATTAAATAAATGTTTTATCACAAGATGTTTGCCAAAAACAAAAGTTTTTCATACAAACAGAAGCATAGCATTCATTATGAGCTTAAAATAAGTTATACTTCTCTCTCATAATTATGTGTTGTTTTTGACAAAAATTATTGTTTTTTCTCTTATCAAGGCATGGATTTTGGCGAAAAGATTTAATTTAGGAAAAAACTATTGAAATCATTGATAACTACATAATCGCTGGTTTTAAAGAGTTAATCGCTTTTATAATCTAAAATTTAATATTAAAAATATACTTTTTTCTAAATCAGAGTTTAAAATGATATATAATTATATGAATGGTTAATCTATTAGATTTGATAGCAGTTTATCGCACGTAATGAGAACTTTCTTATTTTATTGACACAATTCTTGCAAATGTATTGAAAATATTTTTCAAATTTAAATATTTAATATGGATTGAGAAAAAAATATTGTATTAGATTTCTATTGAACTTTTTGAAAAGTTAACAAAAGTTAAGGAAGTGTTGCCTTGTTTTCCATCAATAGACAGAGGGATAGGGAGACAAACAAAATAAATAAAATGCATTCATTGATAAAATATTTTTATGTTGAAAAAAATTTAATTAAAATACAAGTAGAGAGTAGTGTTTGATGTGTGATAATAATGTGGGCGAGAGATTGATTGTATGGTATTGTAATAATTGTATAGTAGTGTGGGTTTTGTCTATATTTTAAAAGCCATAGACCGCACAATTCATTCACTACATGGTCTCCTCATTTACCGCATATTTTTGTCAAATTAAATGCTTTTTGGTTATAATAAGGAATAACATGTTTTTTATTGATGAATATATTTATTTGAAAGTTCCCGGAACTCCATAATAAACTCGCAAAAAATACATGGAGTTGATTAAATTATTGTTATTTGTTTGTAAATTTATTGAATTAGATTTCTAACCGCTATATTAGAAAATAAAAGCGAAATTAAACATATAATAAAACTGTATTGATCGGACTATTCTAATGCAATACTTTAGGGTTATTTCTGTGATACATACAGTTATATCGCATTGTTTTCTTACTCTTTATGGTAGCAAACAAATAAAATTCTTGCATACTCTCAATGCAATATTATATAACTTCCATGATAGCAACATACAGTATATTTAGGGTGTATTCCAACAAGTTATTAAGATAAAAATTCATATATCAAATTCATATTACCAATATAACACTCAAATCACGTCATATACAACTAGCATAGATAAAATGTTTAGTAAATATCGTAACCTTTTTGTGCATAAAAACCTTACAAAGTCTTCAATTGAGAAACCATTACTTGAATTCAGTGTTAAATTATACCACAAGTTGTCGACGAATGACAAGAATTTGGTATTTTCTCCGATTTCGTTGTCGACATGTCTTTCGATGGCTTTTATGGGAACTCGAGGTAAATGTGCCGAAGAATTATCTATCGGTTTGTTTGGGAAACAAATTCAAGACAATGAATACGAAGCGGTGGCCAAAGAGTTGCGAGAATTGAACGACAAATGCGTGAAAAGCAATTCAAACGCTTTGAATGTCTCTAACCTTATGTTCACTCAAACAGAGTTCACTGTTTTNGCAATTCAAACGCTTTGAATGTCTCTAACCTTATGTTCACTCAAACAGAGTTCACTGTTTTGCCACAATTTCAACAGTTATTGCAAAACTACTTCCAAGTGATGGCCAAGTCTTTGGATTTTAAACTTCAGAAATCCGTTGATGTGATCAATGATGACATCAAAAGAGCCACAAATGGAAAGATTGACAAAATTCTTGGAGAGATTGACTCCAACACAAGAATGATTTTGGCGAATGCCTTGTATTTCAAGGGTCTCTGGAAGAAGATGTTTACTAAAAACATGACACAAAAAGATGTGTTTACCACTTATGATAACCAGTGTATTGAAGTTCAGATGATGTATCAGATGTCGAAATATCCCTTCGGATACAGTCGTCAACTCGATGCCAGAGCCGTTGAATTGAGTTATGAAAACAGCTCTGCAGTGATGGTTGTGGTTCTGCCCGAAGACAACAACTCTTTGAAACAAATTGGAGACAAACTGACCATTGAATCACTCAATCAATTGGTTTCCTCAATGCATACCTTTGAAGTGATGCTCTATTTACCGAAATTCAAAGTGGAATCAAGTCTTGAGTTGATTCCTCCGCTTCAAGACATTGGCATTAAAAGCGTTTTTGATGAAAATTCCGCTGACTTGAGTGGACTCAGCCATAAACCGGATCTTTATGTCTCGCAAGTGATCCAAAAGGCTGTGATTGAAGTGTCAGAAGAGGGCACAGAAGCGGCCGCCTGTAGTGTTGTGGTGATGGGGGTTAAGAAAGGCGGCCGAAGTTCACAACCCAAGTATAAAATATTCAAAGCTAACCGTCCGTTCCTGTATTTATTGGTCACTAAAGACGAGTCCAAACAAATCAATTCAATTGTATTTATGGGTGAATGTCATAATCCTAACCAATAAATTGGTTAACACTTGCGAGATATACAGGACTCTCTCTCTCTCTCTCTTTCTCTCTCTGTCTCTGTCTCTCTCTCTCTCTCTCTTTCTCTCTCTCTCTCTCTCATAAGATAAATAACTTTCAATTATTAAATTCATTATAAACTCTATTAAACAAATAATAAATTGTTTATTAATGAAAATGAATTGTATTTATTTTTTATTGAATTACTTCTTAATTATTTTCTTAACAAAACACACATAAGAAAGTAAATGACAATAAGAAATGAGACTAAAAGCAAAATAATAGCATTTTCATCGATTATCTCTACTGATAAATAATGAAACTGTTATATTTTGTTCATTCAAAGTTTACTTTTATATTCAAATTCAATTAGCATACAAATAATGACTTTACTGTTCACACACTTATCACCCATTATTTCACTATTCATTTCTATATATCTCTCTCCCATTCCCTACTTTTCTTAAGATATGATTTTCACAATCTTTTATATAATATTA